ATCTTCCATGATGAAACTGAAGGGGGGGAAAAAAAACTAAATAAAAACAAATTACAACACAGCCCAGTTTTTATGAAGTTTGTTCAATCTTCCTATCTTCTTATTTTCCTGCCTATATACTTGCATAGAAATACCTCAAAAGAAGTTAACCAATGTTAATGATAATGTGTTCACAAAGGAGATGCACTTTTAAAAATTCTTTACATTTTGTATTAATTCTTTACAATGAAGTCATTATTTTAGCAAAAATGAGACATTTTTTCCTTGCCAAACCACAACTAATAAAAGTATTCTTAAGAAATTCCCATTGAAGCTGTGTGGTGGTGGCATATGCCTGTAATCCCAGCATTCTGGGAGGCTGAGGCAGCAGGATTACAAATTTGAACTCAGCCTAAGCAATTTAGTAATTTAGTAAAACCCTGTCTCAAAAGTAAAAATTGAAACAAACAAACAAAAAAATAAAACAAAGGCTTGGGATGCAGCTCAGTGTGAAAGCCCTAGATTCAATCTGTAGTACAGGGGGAGGGAGGGAAAGAGAAAAAGGGAAACAGGAACAGAGAGAAGGAAGGAGAGACTGACTGGTTCCTATTTAAAATTAGGCAATACGTTCACAGCAAGAAATTTGCACTTAAAGTTAGGCAGTATGTCTCAAATATGTAGCTTTCTATTTATTTAATTTTCTGTGGCACTAACGCATTCATCAAAGGCAGTGACGGTGAACCCTTTAGAGCTTTCAATGATAACCTATGGCATGCCATAGGTTTGCCACTACTTATCTAAGGGAATGGATGACAGCTGGATCCCACTCCGCAGAAAGTGTATAGGGTTGTAGTGGTAAGGAAAACTCAAAACATCCCACACTCACAAATTCTAACAAAACACAATAATGGCTAATATTTACTGCAGCCATTTGTTTCTCTGGCACACAGGCAAACTTGATTCCTATTCTCAGAATCCAGATAATGAACACAAAGTCAAAAAATATCAGCCTGACATTAGACAGGTACTAATTTCTTATGGGAGCTAAACTTGCCAGGTTCAGGATCAAAATCAATGGCAACCACATAAAAGCTTTAACTTTTGCTAATGAAAAAGAGGTCATATGCAACCAGATGTCTAGGTGGCAGAGCTGGTATCATCTTATATTATTTCTGTATTTTTATACATATAACACAGTCTCCAAGGCCATGAGTCTTAAAATTCTTAAAAAGTTTAACACTTACTCTTCCAAGTCATAAGTCACTTAAATTAGCAATTATCCCTGATTATTCTTCACTTCGGATTCTAACACAACCAGGTCAGATTCTGTTCTACCAAGAGAATATTTGTGTTCCACATTTGCTCCTCCAAAGAGACAGGTCTAGATTAGATCCACTATGCAAACAAAAACTAAAAGTAACGACTGAAACGTTAGGGTTCAGAGGTGTTATGAATTGTATCTAAATGTCCCCCCAAAGCTTCATGCAGTCAAACGTGGCTGGATTAAGTTGTAAAAATGTGGATTAAAGGTGTGATACTGGGTGGGGGTAAGCCCCCAGTAACCTAAGCATCTCCTACTAGTACACCTGAAATTCAACAGCAGCTTTAAGGCCTATCTTCCTATTCACTCACTCTTATCAGTGTATTGCTTCTATTAAGTTCTGCAGAGATAAGTTAATGAAGACATTTCAAAGCCACTTAAAATGCACAAGTTACATGACAACTAAATGCAATCTGTGGAAAAAAAATCCATAAAGCTATAATATGGACTATAGATTAAAGTATTCTATCAATGTTATGTGAATCTAAAAACTATATTGTAGATATGTAAGTCTTGGACTTAGAAAAAAAAAAGATTATGTATCAAGAGGTAGAGGAGCACAGTGTGTGAAACCTACACTCAAACAACACAGAAAAAAAACAAACTACCAAGACACAGAATGATGAAGCAAATGTGGCAAAATGTCAGTACTTCTCAGTGCTATTTCACAACTTTTCTCTGAATTCATTCTAAATTAAAAGTAAAAAAAATTTTTAATGAACTGGCTGATTTTTTCTTGTTTTGGTTTGGTTTGGTTTTGGTTTTTTGAGTCAGGGTCTCACTCTATAATTCAGGCTGGCATTGAACTCACTATGTAGCTGGCTTAGAATTCACTGTGATCCTCCCGCCTCAGTCTGCCAGGTGCTGAACATGTGCCAGCATATCCAACCTATTTTTTCTTTTTAAAATTTAAACTTAAAGCTAAATGAAAAAGGAGAAACTTTTTCGAAAGGAAAACTTTGCAAAGTACAAACTGCCTTTGTTCTGGGCTACCTTTTCAATAATATTTACATAAAAATAGATTTATCAGAAACAGTGCCTCAACAAACAGACTCAAGGATCAATGGAACAGAATAGAAGATGTAGAAACAACTGCAAACACACTCAGCTGTCTTTGACAAAGGGGCCAAACACTTTAACTAGAAGAATAGCTTTTTTAATAAATGGTGCTGGAAAAACTGGCTTTCCACATGCCAAAGATTGAACTTAGACCCATGTCTCTCACCATAAACTAAAATCAAAAGGGATCAAAGATCTAACTCTAAAAACAGAAACAATCTGCTGGAAGATGGAATAGGTAAAATTCTTCACTTGCTCTTAGCCAAAAGGCTGAGAAGGGATAGAACAGGTAAAACTCTTGCAGACAGATATAGGCAAAGACTTTAAAAACAAAACCCCAATTATGCAAGAAATATTACAAAGAATCACCAACTGGATATTAAAAAGCTTCTGCACAGCAAAAGAAACCACTGACAGAGTGAAGAGACAACCCAAAGAATGGGAAAAAAATTTTACCAGCTATTCTTCAAAGAACTAATATTTAGAATATAAAGAACAAAAAAAGAAAATCACATCGCCCAAATTTAAAGAACCAAAGCAAAAACGGGCATCTGAAATGAATAGACTCAGACAAGGAAGTACAAACAGCAACAAATATATGAAAAAATATTCCACATCACTGGTCATGTGAAAGATACAAATTAAAACAATGCTGAGATTCTATCTCACTCAAGAAATGAGTGTTATCAAGAAATCAACCAATAGCAAGTGCTGGAAGGGCTATAAAAAAAAAAAAGGAAACTTTCTCTACTGTTGGTGGGAGTGTGGAAATCAGTTTGGAGAATCCCCCAAAAAACTAAAAGTGGAGTTGCATTCAACCCAGCTATTCCCCTTCTTGGTATGTTCCCAAAAGAATTAAAAGCATCACACCACAGGAATATATGCACACTTAGGTTTACAGCGACACAGTTTGTAATAGCTAAATCTTGGAAATGCCCAACAACCAATGAATGGACAAAGATTTTTTAAAAAATATACATACAATGGAGTACTACGCTTCCATAAAGGATAAGCTTGAGATATTTCTAGCTAAATATATATACCTTGAGATCACACTCTTAAAGGACCAAAATGTATAATATATATTGGGAAATAGGAACAAAATGTTCAAAAGAGAAGAACATAGGAGGGGGAAGGGAGAAAGGAAAGGGACAAGAAAAAATAGAAGGAAAAAATGGAAACAAGGCTTTTGTAGATAAAGAGGGGAGGGGGTTGGGAGGGGAGAGAAATGGGAAAAAAAGAAGCAAGATATATCATGTATAGGTACATATTCCGGATGATGAGTATTATCATTATTTATATGGCATAAAATAAAAACAAAACAAAATAAAAATGCCAGAATACCGATTTTGGTAAAGATACTGAGAAACAAATAAAAAAAGAAAATGAATGCATACATTATTTAATGAAACTTTCATCTTACTTACATAAACAGTCATAGTATGTATAGAATCCATTTCTTTTTAGGGACAAGGAATAATCTACACAGTGGGAATGTAATGCAAAAGGAAATTTTACTGTGTTAAAGAAAACACTGGCTGGAACCTATAGAAAGTATAAAATAGCATAAATGTAGTTACACGAATTTAGAAGGATGATAAACTAAGCATGTGGTAGAGAGTCTGTGAAAAGTAGAAAGATAAGTGATATGATTTGATTCACTTTTTTTTTGAGATAGGTCTGTGTAGTTCAGGTTGATCTCGAACTCATGGTGATCCTCCTACCTCAGCCTCTAAAGTGGTAGGATTAAAGTCAGCCTTAAACCATATTTCAAATTCTCAGTAAATCTGACCTAACATGCCTTTCCAATCTGAGACACTACCAAAGCTCTAACCTGGTGGTAAAGCTTTCCCTTATTCTAGTAAATAAAATCAACTTCTCTCATCAAAATGTGATGGTGGTGGGATTTGGGGAGTTAGCATTGGCTGTGGCAGTACATAAAGACAAGCCTGAAGGAATCTCCTACATATGCCTAGAAACAATAAAAATGAGCCAAAATATGTCCACCAATACTCTCATTAATAAGAAGGAAATTGGTATGACAGACCATAACACACAATCCTTGTAAAATTCCACAGATGGCCAATGGATTTAAAAAATTCATTTTTGATCAATTCCAGATCCTGCAGTTATTACTCTATTCTCAAAAAAGGTGTTAAAATGTGAATCAAGAAAAATTGCTTCATATACTTCTGGGTTTGCCAAAAAACATAAAAATACACACACACACACACACACACAGAAATGGTAGGCTGCTGAGAATTATCTGCAAGATACTTTCCAGTGGCAATTTAGGTCCATTATCAACTTCACGTGTGAGGAACACTGATTTCTTAGGGTTTTAATCATGGCCCAAAGACATTCGATCCAAAGTACAGCGAAGAATGCTAAACTCTGGGCTGAGGAGTGAAGGAAGCAACAAGTGCTTTTCAAGGTTTACTTTTTACCCTGAGAAAGCGATCTCAACCCCACTTTCTGACCCTTCAGATTTCCCTACCCCCAACAGCGAGGAGACCGCCAAAACTAACTCAATTCCACAGAACTCGCTCTCTTACTGAGTGAAGACTGTCCGTAGAGGCAAGGGGGTTTGCAGTCCCTGACTTATGGGGAGTCTTTCTTCCACCCACTCTGGTATTCATACCTGACTGGCAATGGACCTGCGGAAGCCGCAAGCCATATCTTACTCGCCAAGAGGCTGGTAGCCCGCTGGTCCCAGGCCTCGTTCTGCCCGCCCTGCTCTGCAGCCCCGCCTCCGCACACCGGAAGCCCACCCGAGAAAGCGACGACAGCCAATCAACAGGCCGTATGGCTCATCACTAACCTTTGCCCTCTTGCCGCTAGGGCGCGCGGGAAATCTCCTGTGCATCCGGAATCCTCCCAACTGCTAGGATTATGGCCACCTCTTCGGTGTCCAAGGTACGTGGACTGGCATTTACTGGGGCTCCACCGCCCCCTCATTCCTCTTTGAAGACGAGGTGAAGCCAAGGTTACGTCAGTCTCGATTTCCTAGCTGAAAGGGAAAGAGCTGTGGGCAGACCTCTGGCTTCTTTGCTCCAGAACCAGCCGAGGCCAACTTTACTTGGGAAGCAAAATCTTAGCTCTGTCGTGTGCGGCTAGGAGGATTTTTAAGTTGCAATTTGTGGAGGTCGGACGCCCCCAGGATGTGCCCTGTCATCTTTTCCCCTCTCAAGTATTTACTGTGTTCCAAGCATTACGTTAGGTACTCAGATAAAGACTTCCTATAAGATACGGACGAGGGATTTAGCTCAGCGGTTCGGTGGCCTGCCTTGCAAGCGCAAGGACCCGAATTCAATCCCCGGTGCCAAAAAAAAAAAAAAGACTTCCTATAAGAAAGAAAAATATTAATAAGCAGATGCTCATAAATCATGACAATGTGAACAGGAAGAAAAA